TGGGTAAATATGAACTATGATAATTATATAGTTGTGGAAATAAATGCACAATAGAAAACGGATTTACATGCTTGATAACTCTGAATTAGTTGAGTAAGTGTTCAAGAGAGTGTATAGATACGAGAACAAATACTAGTTGCTCGACCCAGGAAAATTAAAATATCTTTGGGTAAGTAATCTTCTAATTCCCTATGTTGGGAAAATATTAAGATCAGAATACCATGATTTTAGACCAAGATTCAAATTATTAAAATTTTAGATGCAATAAAGATTGTCAAACAGATAAAGATCACTATTGCATAATCGATTAAACATCTGGAAATCTTTCATGCTTTAAGAGATAAAATTTGATAAAATTACCAAAATCTACTGGATTTATTCATTAGTCAACTAATTAAATATGGGAGTTAAATCAAAAGTAAACATGTGATAAAGATGGAATAAAAGCATTTAATGAAGAATGCGATGATGGAGATACAGAATCTACTGGAGGGTACCTATTTACATCAATAATAATAATGATTAGATGTGACTCTAACTGCAGAATAAAAGAGAAGTGGACTTGTCTCAATAAGGAAGAATTTAAATCAATTTGTTTCAAAAATTGCATCGAACATGGCATGACTTGTCTTGATCAGAATTATGTTAACTAAGATGGGTAAAATTTCAAATTATTATTTAATGACTTAATTATTAGTTGTGATAACAAGTGCAAAGTAGAGAAGGGATATAGCTGCTCAGTTACCTCAAATAATGGATAAGGGTATTTCCAATGTTTTAAAAGTAGCGATGAATTCTAAAATTATCAGACTAACTAAGTGATTTAGGTATAATTCATTGTCCAAAAATATTTACTCAAATTTTAGATAAATGATTACTCAAAGTATCTCGATAATTCAAATCTCAATACAAAAGAAAATACTTAGCTTCTAAGAAAACTCACATAAGAGTAAGCTCTCTGCAAAAATGGGAAATTAGAAATAGGTGAACAGTGTGACGATGGTGAAGATAGTATTTACGATTATAAGTATCCATTATTTTAAAGTAACTTTCCTAGATGCGATTAAGAGTGTAATATTTAACCTGGTTATGGAGCTATAATCAATTCGCTTGGATAAATAACTTAAATGACTCACTATTGCAGCGATCAAGTTGAGGGGTAAAATAATATTTAATAATACTTCAATTAGATGCAACGAATATGGTGAGATATATAAAGACCATTTTTGTATCTAGGATAACTCTAATTTTAAATGCTTCAGATCTGTAAATAACTATTCTATAAACTTTAAAGCCAATTATTCCATAACTTACTAATGGTTAATGCTACAAAAATGGAATTTTAGAATAATACGAGGAGTGTGATGATGGAGATTTAACCAACTCTGGAGGGTAATATATTCCCAGTTTATTTTTAATATGTAGATGTGACTAATATTGTTTCATTAAATCTGGCTGGACTTGTATTCAATAAAACGAGGGAGGAATATAGAGATGTATAAAAAGTTGCACCTTGTATGGAGCAACATGTATGGATATGAATAGTGAATGCAATGATGGGTAAATAATCATTTCTCAACAATTTCAGATGTAATGAGTATTGTGAAGTAGAGGAAAATTATAGCTGCATGTAATATCCCGACTATTTTGAGTGTTTCAATACTCGCTCTAGATATGTAACTTTATGGCCCGGTTTAGAAAGATATTACTCGAAGTTTTAACCAATAAGGCATTACTATAATACTACCAATCCAACATTATTTATCACGAATTCACCTTCAACTGAAACTACAACTGAGATTTAAACTACAACATAGTTTACAACACCGAAGCCATAGTAGAGTACCTCATCTCCTAGCTATACAACGTTTACAGTAACCACAACCACTCCGCCACGTATTGATGAGAGTATTAAATGCGGTAATAATTTTCTTGAATTTGGTGAAGAATGCGATGATGGTAACGTCAACTTAAATGATGGGTAAATTTTTATTTGAAATTTTCTATAGTTGTGATTTCTACTGCAGAATAATGCCGGGAGCAATGGTATATGGGGCATTTGGATAATCTACCCACCGACATAACTCGAATGATTGCAAGGATATTTCCAATCCATCCGTGTGCCTAGATCAAAACAACTATAATAGCGATGGGTATAAGCAATTGTATTAATACATTTTAGTTGCTCCAGTTAATGCCTGATTGAGTCATAATTCAGCTGCTTCTCAGATTTCGAAGGATAATACGGATTTTACTGTATATAGAAAAAAGACTATGAATCATGGCATACATATGCTCCTCCTGCTCCAACAACTATTTACTACTCTCTAAATAGTCAATGTGATAAGAATGGCATTGTGGAAGCTGAAGAAATTTGTGACAATGGTCTGACCAATTAATTGGGGTATACATTTTCGTGTTAAACTTTTGATAGATGCGATGACAACTGCCGTGTTAGACCGGGATGGTCATGTGTTTCAAAAGATGGTAAAAAATCTCATTGCTACTAGTCCTGCATATATGTGGGTACTGAATGCTTAGACAGGAATCATGAAGACGGTGATGGGTAAAAATAGTTTTCTTTAATTATGTAGTTGTTCCAAAGATTGTCAAGTTGAATGGGGCTACAGTATCCTCGTACATAAGATTTAAGGCTCAGAGTTCAGCATTAAATTATGGCATGATCCTGTGCTGATATATGAAACATGGTCTACTACATAACCTCCTGCTACAACTAGAGATTCATTTACTACAACTGAAGGTCCAAGATCTTAAACTACAACAGAGACAGCATTTTAAACAGTGAAACCAACAGTAAATTAGAATTAATTACTTGATATATTTTAGCAGACTTATTAGCCTACAACATAACGCCCCTCTACTGTAGCTTCTACAACTACCTAATTCTAGGCGTCTACTTCTTCTCCAACAATTTCAACGAATTCGTAAACCACAAAATCACCTTCGAGTTAATAAACAACAACTTAAATGCCAACTAACTCTCTTACAACCTCTGCTACTTAAACTACATATTAATCCACTTTTAGCTCAACATAAAGTACAACCAAATTCACTTAACCTACTACAATAACTACTGCAATAACTTAAACTACAATTACAATCAAGTAGACAACTACAAACTAACCAACTACAACCATAGTCAAATCAACAACTACAAACTAGCCGACAACAACCATTGTCAAATCAACAACTACAAATTAACCAACTACATTGACATCGACAAAATCTTCAACTACAACAGTATAACCCAAAACTACATCAACTGGAACCACCTAAGCAATCACAACGGAAACAATTAAACCTACTACTATTACTACAATCAAACCATAAACCACAGCAATGACAACCAACCGATAATCTACTACAATTTCAATAACGACTATTACTAAGGGACCCAAAACTACCAATTCAATAAGCACTGTAACTACAGTGACAACAACTACAGAGCCTCCTGATGTGAAATAATGCAAGGAAACATTAAATGTATTCGACAAAACAGAAGAGTCTACAGATACATCTGATGGAGAGGAAGTTACATGTTCAGATATGAAAGTCTGTCCAAATGGATCAAGACCACCTTGCAATTGGAAGAGAAAAACATATACTGGGTGCAGAGAAAAAGATAATAGCTCTAATAACAATCATGATGATAAGAAGAGAAGGTTCTTATAAACAACTGGAAATACAGCAAGTATCATTACCACAGCAACTGCCACTTTGAGGATAAAAACTAATTCATTGCCTAATCACTGCTTCTCTACATAAGAATCTACTTAATCAACAGAGAATGACATTGATTTTGAAGTGGAGTATAGAAATTCTGCTAAAAAAAGCAAGACTGCTAGAATACTCACTGAAAACAGAATTCTAATAGCATTAGATGGTAAAGATCAAGACATCGTTAATTCCATCTTGTGTGAAACAGCGTGGACTTCGACAGAGCTTGTACAACAAGTTAGTCCTTCCTACACTGAATACTCTGGAAATTATAAGGATATTGTGGGAATAGCTATCAACGGAGTTCCTTTACATACAGGTAACTCTGAATATGGGTCAGACATATTCTTCCCTAAGAAGTACAAAGAATACTAGTACAGCAATTTGACAATAGAACTAGACTCTTGTCTTGGAAGTGTTTAATTCCTAGGCTTTTACCATTACTACGGATGGTCGCCTTGTATCCTCCCATCAGGCCCTATAAAGACTAGCTCATCATCAAACTGCAAAGATATTGATGAATGCAAAAATGATAAGCTAGCATATTCAATTTCTTTTATGAAACCTCAAGAGAAAAATATGACTGTTATCGGAATAGCAAGAGATGGACATTCAATCCTTGGTCCATTCAGAAGTGACGGGTAACTTTGGGAGCCGTGTGATATTGATATATGCAATGGAATAGAAATTGAAGGAGTGTACTACTACGTTACGACGTTATTCCATCCCTACACAGTTGGATGTTGGGGACCTG